CAACAACAACAAAAACAAACACACACACGTTCGTCTTGAAATACTTTACTTCATACAGGTGACGAATGGTTGTGAAAAGATCAGCTATACCGTACCCTGTAAGTTGCATTGAAATTAAGAGGCACAGTTGCTCTGTACCAAGCATTTCCCTGGTTGCCTGACAACTGCCACAAAACTTGATCTTCAACCTTCACTGTGAGTGTAGCAATGGACTGTCCATACATATGATAGAAGAATACCATACACGTGGTGTTTTCATCACTTCGTATGTGTGGAGACACGAGTGAAGCAACTTCACCCCTGCTTCGTCCAGATGCCTCAATGTAAAAGTAAAAACCTGCATTGGGGAAAGAACTACTATGAAATAAGGGTAACTATGTTTACTCTTGGATGTAACACAAGAGTGTTGCGTGACATCCCTTGGGCGATTAATAATGTTAGTGATACTTAATGACAGATGTGATTTTCACAAATGCATGAACATTCAATAATGAAACAAAAACACCAGGAAAAAAGGTTGATTTTCAGTTCGGTCGACAAATAAAAGAATTTTAATCATTTTATTTGGGCGTGAGCCTAAAGAGTGAGAGCTTTTTCCAATAGTAAAATACCTCACGAAAAAGTTCGATTGTATCATTATCACTCAGTCACATTCCTCGGTATGAAGCTTTCCTTACCACTACCAGAGGTGTGATCTTGGGATGGTCCGGTTTCATGTGATATCGTTGGGCCAAACTTCCTAGTCCACGTTAACCCCTGGCTTCCTGGTCCATTCTCCCAGCCGCAATACCAAGTGTCAAATGAGCAGCTTGCATCTGCAGAGAGAGTTTCAGATATTTCTTCTTCTTTGCTTCTTTCGAAGTACAAATCGATTACTTAACACACAAGCTGACATACAGGGATTTGATGAATTTGCAGAGTTTGTAAATATTTTCTGCCTTACCTTTTGCCTTTACAGTGTAATTAAAGTCACATTTCACCCCCGCATCTTTCGTGTGATCACAGTTACTTTTTCCCCAGCCAGCATGTGGACAAGCTGCAAGCGTGCTCTCATTTCCCGTGCAGTTGACGTCATCAAGCCATATTGGCCCATCGTTAGCACTACCAAAAACTGTTCTGTTTGTAAAGTCAAAAGCTCCTGGGTATCCCAGCATTCGACACACTACGTTCGCATCATTCATGTCCCAATGATCTTGGCATATTGTTCCCCACTGGCCATTGTAGTAAAGTGAAACACGACCTTGATTTGGGTGACCACCACCATTCAACAGCTCAATATATAAAACTGTTTAAAGAAATCAAAATTGTGATCGTGACTGTTGAATACGCACTTACCTACACGCAGTCAGTGTTGAGCTGTACAATTATGTCATAACAGAGCGACTCATTTTTCATTTTATGATGTACATTTCTGTGAAAGAGAACTGCATGGTGAGTCTCTGCCTAAAAACGTTCTTTTGTATCCTATCATCTTCAAATGGGTTTGAAAAATGTGCTTTCTAGACGTTAATCTCTACACTAAGCACACACCTATAGAAGTTCCTGATTGATCTCATTCTTAATTACTTTTCTAATCGGGAGCCGAGTTTAATTAAACAGAAATTGATCGCCACATCTGACAACAGAATGCTAACACACCTGAACGTCTATAATCATGCCAAAGCCTTGGACAGTGATTGCATATCAACAATTGTTAACAGGCTGCAAATATGACTGGAGGCTACTTACTGGGATTTAAGGGGGCAATAACAGAGCTGGACATGACGGCCAATGACGATGAACTTGGAGATACTACTATAGCTTCTGTTACACGAACAGTGTGGGTTGACGATTTCTGGAATTCTATTGATGTTGGGCTGAAGGGTATTGGTGGGGACACCTGTGTCAAAATGGACTGAGCCGTTGTGGATGTAACTGCTTTTGTGCTAGAGAAAAGAGATTTCTGTGTTCTTGTTGACACGGTTTTTAAACTGACATAGTGAGACGGTTTTTCTGTCGTTGGACTGTAACACACGATCTCAGCATCTTTTCTATGATCACAGTTATTGACACCCCAACCACTGTGATCACATTCTAATAGAGACTTCTCTCTTCCTGTGCATGAAATGTCACTGAGCCACACTGGACCAGTCCCTCCCCGATAATCCTCACAACAGCCTGCTTTCCAGGCTCCCGTATAACCCAACATCCGACAAACAACTGAGGCATCCAGGATATCCCAACCGTCTCTACAGATGGTGCCCCAAAATCCATTTCGGTACACTTCTACTCGGCCTTTATTGGAAGTAGTTCCGTCCATAAGACGTACGTATACCGGAGAATCTAAAACAAAAAAGAAATAACATAAGTATCATCCCTTATTAAAAGTGTACAGAGTACTCCGCTGCCCTGTTGGAAAATGATGGTGCAGGGCAGGTTATTGACGCTTGGAGATTTCCACTGGCTGACTATATATATTGAACGTACTCCGCAGACAAACATTATGCAAATGTTCCTTGAAAAGCAGTGCTGATGTTAGCTTCCTGGAACCAGATAAACCGCTAGGTAAATTCAGAGACATGTTGAAATTGTGATATGCCTTGCCAGAAGGTCAGGGATGCGCCTAAAAGATTACGTATTACATCTAAAGAATAGAGACATCCACAAACGACAAAGACTCACCTTCTATTTCCACCTCAATGATGCTCTTCGGAGAAGCAAATGAGCTCAGAAATGTGCAGCGAAATCGAGAAGCATCAGTGTCTGTAACATTGTTCAATTTGAGCGCCATGTCCTTTCCAGGAATCACATCAAAGGTATCCTCATCATCGATTTCCTGATAAATACCATTATAATATTGTTTAACAGCCATGATCTGCCACTGATTGCTATAAAGAAACTTCTCACGTTCTAAGAGAATCAAAGAAAAGCGATCGGCTCTTTTCTTTTCTTCTTTTGTTAGTGATATTGTCCATTCCAGTGTGATCGGTGATCCTCTGTATACACTGTCGGGCTGTTTAATGGTCCAAGACAGAGATTCTTCGAAAAATGAGAGAGAATAAAAAGTGAGTAAAAGGAAAAAACTGATTCTTATATATAAAAATATGTTTTGAGAGTTATAACACCCTGGCTTACCTGAAAGCCAAAACAGCGAAAAAAACGACCAAACTGTCAGGGGTTTATCCATGATCAACAATGCCCTGGAGGTTCTTATTTAAACTTGTGGCAGTAGTTCCAGTTCACCTTAATAACATAAGAAACATGCTGATTAACCATCTTTTCACGATCTAATTAATCTCCGTTCCCACTACGACGAGGCCTCTTCAATTCGGTGCACGCTCGTGTCTTTTGTTACAATTAAACTTGGGTACTTGTGAATGCACCCTTTCTTTGTTTTTCTTTAAAGAGAGCGTCACGAATTTTAAGTGCGTGACTAACGTGGACTATCTCACGCGCGTGAAGTATTCAAAGTTCTACCCGGAAATATCAAATTCTTTTATACCACACCTTTAGTGTTATTTCCAGACGGAAACACCTCATGATGACTTGTAACACAAGACTGCGGAATACATTAAAACTCATTAGCATTATGCGGAATCAATATTAAGCCACATTATATTTCCTTACCTGGCGGAAATAGAATAAAATGCTAACCACAGATTTAAGTTGTGAACATGAATTACACAAATAATTTTCATAAAATGAGTCACTTTCTTTCGACTCAACTCCGTTGATTTTTTTCAACGCGCAAATTTAAAATGCATTTTTTATTTACAGACTTCAAATCTTCGACGACGGTCTATTTTTTTTTTGTTAAATTAAAAGGCCCAAACACCCTGCATAACATTGTCTAACCTACCGGTTAAATCTCAGTTCTTATTATTGCAAATGGAATAAAGGACTTTGTTATACGTCTCAGTCAGTCGTCGACACGACATGGCCGATCTGACAACGCCATCTAAAACTCACAGTTTTACAATCGCACTGACACAGCTACGAGATAAATAATCAGGCACAAAGATGTCGTACATGTGCTAAAATCTCTGACAGACAAAGCACACAGTATTGCTATTGTTCCAAGAGGGAAAACATAAAGGGAAAACATGTGGAAAGGCTGAAAAAGCTGCTTAGCTTTGCAGTAATTTCATATCGCAAATTGGAGATTTTAAGATTCGCGGAACGTTTTTTTGGAAAGTTAACTGAATTCTGGATAATCTAGGAAGGTAAACAACCACTTCGCAAAATATTTGACAAAGAAATCAGAATACTGAATGAATAACCTCTTATCCGCGTTATTTCCCTCGACTTTTGTATTGGACTAAGAATGATTTTTTTGCGGCGTTATATTCCACTGCGTATTTTTTTCAGCGTGTACCCATATTTGCAGATCAAGCAAAATCCGCAAAATTTGAAACTTGCATTCAATTTCCCAGCTAGGCATACTAGACGGTTCTGTCGCTTTCCGTCGTCGAGCAAAAGTAAGACATCTGCACAACACAGCCTATTAGCTTCCAATTAAAATTACCCCTGAATGTTACAAAGTCCACCGCAGTTATTATTTTGTTTGGACTGACAACCTTTATACCTTATATTTCTCCAACCAAAACGTTATCTACCTTGATCCTTGACAAACATGAATCAATATCGGCCTCGTATATTTTACATATAGTATTCAGGAAATCTGTACGGCCTGAAATCTTTTTTCGAGCGAGCAGGTATCTTTGAGAAAAATAACTTTTACTCCTTTTGAATATCACCTGCTGAACATTGCAAACGATAACTATTAAAAAATAATTAGGAATAAAAAGTAAAATTTAAAAAAAAGTCACATGAGTTGGCTTCTCAAATGTTTAGTTCGTCTCAAATGAAGCTGGGACTAAAATTAGACATGGAGTGACAAATAAAGCAAAAGCTGTATCAGTCATCCTCGGAATGTTGTCATTTCCTGTCTATTCTATGCATGATTGAATTTTTTTAAACAATAGCTCGGCGAAAGTGTTTGACGTCAGTGGAGGAGGGACTAGAGAGTTTGTCACTAACACAAATAAATATACAAAGAGTTATGCCGGACTTCCTCTTCAAGAAGTTGCGTGAAGAATGGAGGGTTCCAATACCACCTGGGTGCTACTATTTTTTCTGAACTGTGTAATTTTACTGGGCAAGTGATGTTGAAATTAGTTTTGAAATAGTTTGGTTTGATTGTATCATTTACGCGAGCGGCGGTTACAAACCATGTCGCCAATACTGAAATGTTTGCCGCATGAAAACGGTCCTCTTTTAGTAGTCGGGTTTGAATATGTCTGACTCATAGCCTTTATGGTTTCGATTTCAGAGGGATTTCAATGGTCTTATCAGCAACAGGCAAACCATGTAATCAACGTAGTCGCCGGCTCAAATGTTTCACTGCCATGCGATTATGTGCTGACTCCTCAAGAAGAACAACAAGCTGATATATTTCATTTGCTGACCTGGTCCAGAGAACAACCTTACAACAGTGATGAATGGGCTGGATTAGCCATCAACTCAACATTGATTGGAAGCAAAGTCATTTACGATCATCCCCAACACATTTTCATTTCGGACAGGACTTTGAATGTTATGAACGTAGCCGAAGAAGATCACACTCGTTACCAATGCTCATTTCGAAGTAGTTTCTTCACATCACCAAGTATTATCGAGTTAAACGTACAATGTAAGTATTACATAACTTTAAGGTGTTCTGAAAGTTAGGGGTTATCCTACCTTACGACTCGCTAAGTAAACGTTCTCTCTTGTCACCTCTGCGACGTAACTCTGATCATTATTGTTCATAGAACATTCTCAAAGCAGAATCTCGTCGTAAATGTACCTCCAAAATGATGTGGTTGGCTTTAGGAAAGAGTATCAGATTTCGTCACGTAGCGCGACTCAAACAACTTCGAAGGCCAACGGTAGATTTACAATGATTAAAATTGAATGGTTCCTTTCGACGATCGGTCGACGCCATTTCTTTCGATTTGTATCTGGGCTTTCGGTTGTCAATAAGTTTGTTATTCACACATAAGACTTGTCAATGGTGATAAAAAATGTATAAATTAGATAGACACATGTCAGATCATTCGTTGTCAACAAGAAATTAATCTTAATTGGCTTTGCAGAAGAACCATTTGTATTTGTTTTTACAATCCTGTGTTCCCTTTTCCTGTCTGGTCATTTGCTGCTTTTTCAAACTTATTATTCAGGAGCCATTCTTAGGAAAAAAGGAAGGACACTTGCTTCTGTTTGGGCACATGAAGATTGTCAAGATCTGTTTCCAAATCACACATGCTTTGGCCAATGTGATATGTTTAAGAGAGAATGCTTTCTCTTTCCACATTTCAACCAAACTATATTAGACCCTTTGAGTGAAAATAACAGTTCAAATACATATATTAGATGAAAATTTCAAAAGAGCCAAGCAAACTTGTATGATGGCAATTATAAGCAGGTGTTACCATAAGTATTATCGATTTGCATATCAGAAAGCATCAAATAGGAGAAGTGCAAAATTTTGCACACTATTGTGGTGAACAAGGAAATTTCATTGGGACATTTTTGCTGTATGGTGTTTTTAAAAAACAAATTTACACTTTCTATATTGATTTGCATTTAAATGAAAATTATAAAAAAAATTGTTATAACTTATCTCATTGTGAGTCACATCTCTGCCATTTCTAAGAGGTAGAAACTGTAAAAGTATTGTGGTACAATTTTCTTTATATGTATTCTGGCTTTTAATTGAAACACTGAAAGATTTTGCCAGCAAGATTCAATTTTCTGCCCTAACTAAAAAATATTTCACAGACTGCCTTGATTTTCCCATAAGAGAGAAATAGTACATTGATGCTTACCGCACTAGAAGCCTGCTAGTCTGTGGAATAGTATAATTATCCGTTTGAACTTCCTTTTGGTGTAAAAGGTAATCAGTCCTAAATCCCAAGTTCTAAGGTTGACATTCTGATAAGGCTGTTATTAGGCTAATGCGGTTATTGGCTGTCTTTATCTTTGTTGATTAGCAAGTGTGATAAAAAGATTAGGTGAATATCAAAGACATGTGACATGTTGGCTGCCAGGCAACAGGCAAAGTTTCCTGGAAACTTCACAAAGTGAAGTGTTTCTCATCTTCAAAAAATGGATCAAATGGGTTTTAAACTAGATGAAATCAATAAATTAAGATGTGTGAAGGTAGTCATCAACAGTCCCTATGCTTCATGTATACATATTTCTCATTTATTCCCACTTAATTGATTTTGCCATGAATTCTTTCTCTCTCTCACTGGCGTCCACCAGTTAGGAGAAGTGAATAGTAGCTAGATTGCTGGATGTTTAATTTCTCCATGAGTAAATTAGTAATTTTGAAGTGCCTAGAGAGAAGCTGTTCTCATTGTTGTTTTTCTTATTATGTAATTTGATTCTCCAGACAAACCCACAGACACTCTGCTCAGTAGTTCGGTGGAGCCAGCACAAGAAGGGAAACTCTTAGTGCTCACCTGTACAGCCCGTGCCAATCCCTCAGCAGAATATAAATTTTACCGCAACAACAATTTGATCAGCTCATCCAGCACAGGTGTACTTACTTTTGTTAGTGTCAAGAAAGAGGACCAAGGAACTTATCGCTGTGTTCCTTCTAATAAACTGGGTGACGGCCCAGAAGCAACTCTCACGGTGACCGTTGAAGGTATGTGACCACACCTCATTGTACATTTTGATTTTATTAGTAAAGTTTTTATAAATACCATCATGCCATTCTAGAAAAAAAACACCCTTGCATGCAATGTATTTTACCCCATTTTTATTCAACATGTCCAAAAACTATTCCAAAGAGGATTTGGCATATTTAAATAATTTAGTGGAGTTACTGAAAGGACTGAACCTGATTCAGCTACTTTTTATCATGTGTTTGTGATCTAAAATATGTCAACTTATGATTGCTTCATGTAGATAAAGAGGAATTCCCAGTTTGGGCATATGCTGCCATTGGTGGAAGTGTTTTATTTGTCCTTTTAATTGCCTCCTCGATCATTGTATTTTGCCGTTCAAAGAAGTACAATAAGAAAGGTAAATGCTTTTGTCAGTTAACTATACTGTGTAGTCTTGTAAAGTGTCACATGCTTAACATGTGGAAGTATTCCAAGCTGTTGAAAAAATGTTGGAGAATAGCTAGTCCTGAGAGTTACAATTTTAATTTTTAACAAATTTTATTATCCTTTTCTTTGATTTTGATTTGAACAGATAAGAGGGAAATGGGATCACAGAATAACATTTCCAGGTACAATAATCATGATTTCATACTACTTAAATTATCATGAAACAGAAGCACATATTGTACCTTAGACCAGTGTAAAACTGAAATCATCACTTTCTTACTCGAAGTCATATTTATCTTTTGCTCTCTCAGACAAGGAACCAAGAGAGGCTCTCACATTGGTCCTACTCTCTATGGAGATCAGACGAATGGGGGAATGGAGGTGAGCGATCTTTGTGCGCAAATGTGTCCTACATTTTGATTTAAGTGCAGTGAATAGTTTTGCACCTCTGAAACAAACATTCGTTCAGAATTTTGCCCTATTTTGTGTAATTTTTTTAGGGGGGGGGGGGGAGATAAAGAAATTTTTCAAGCATCATTCAAAATGAACTTAGTAATTGGTGGAAGTGTTCCTGCCAATAGTCATTGGTTGATCCTATGGGCATGTTGTTTCATTTGCGTGATGTTCTTTTTCTCCTAGATTGGTTATCTGAATGGAGCCTTGAGCCTAAATGATGTTAGAATGAGTCGTGAGGTTTGTACTCCTTTGTTTTCAGTGTATTTTTTGTGGAGTCTCTGTCAATCCCAATGATTTTGTCATACTGTCGTCACTTGTTGTCATCCTACCAGCAAGTGCATTTTAAGCCTGATGACAAACTCCTGTCTTTGAAAACTTTCATTTATTTTGCTTCCTTTTAGTTTGTCAATTTTATTACTAATTGTAAAAATAGTATTTTTGTCTCCTAGATGCCAATGTCAAAGAAATTTTCAAATATCATTACCTGGAATGATACATTGAACATAGCAATTGGCAGAAAGTGTTCCCACCAATTTAAAAATGTCATTAATTGGTTCTACATGCATGCTTTTTTTCGTTTCTGTAACTAATGTTTGATGTTACTTTTTCTTATAGATTGGTTATATGAACGGAGCCATAAGTCTTACTGATGTCAGAATGAGTCGCGAGGTTTGTGTCCCTCTGTTTTCAGTCTATCTGCTAGCATAGTCTCATTTGATCCCACTGTTATTGTCATACCATCGTCACTTGTGCTCAGATTGTTATCATCTTACCAGCAAGTGCATTCTAAGCTGCCAAACTGTTGTCTTTAGACACTTTCATTTGTTTTGGTTCTATCACTTTGTCAATTTTCTTACTCATTGCAATAATGATATTTTTGTCTCTTAGATGCCTGATGTAATGAAGGGGGCCATGAGTGCAAATGACATTAGATTGGCAGAGGTGAGTATTCATTAGAGTTTTCATGCACACAGTTTGTAAATACATGCCTAATTTGATGCTTTAGCAAGAAATACACTTGTTAACAGGTTAAGGGTGTAATGTATGTAGAGGTGAATTAAGAGTTATTATGGTCTCCTTTCCTGAGTTCACATGTGCAGGAGAGCAATAGTCCACCTTACCTGCAAGGTATTCGTGTCATTGGACTTATTCTCCAGCCAAATCATTTGTGAGACACCATGTTCGCTAACAATTTTGGTTAACGCATAGGAGGTAACCTTAAGCACAAAATTCATCCACAAGAAGCAGTGACATTCACTCAACTTTCACTCATTTCAAGGTACTTATGATCATAATGTTGCTTGGTAGTTCAGTGTTCCCTGTTAAAGTTGAACTCTTCCTTTACTGAAACCAGGACCAACGCTCCACAGTTGGTGGAGCCTACCCTACCCAATCTGTTATTCAACTGATTGAGGCTGGAGGAGAAGTAGACTCTAGAATTTAACGCAACAGAATATAAGACGCTCATCCAAGACGAAGACAGATGCAAGCAGCTCCCTCATTGCTGGATATTGCATCACCTGTAATGTTCTGTTTACAGTCAACAGACAACCTACAGTGGAAGGGTTCCACTTAAAAATTTTTATATTCAAACTAAAATTATTTATTAATTACCACCACAGTCGTCGCTATTTGTAACTGTCACAGTTTTAATCATTTTCAAAACTTTTTTACTTTTGTATTTTGTAGCGAATTGAATTTTTACTGTTGACTGTCAATGTATTTAAAACCGAACATGAAAGAAAGAAAAAACCAAACAAAATGAAAGCAATCGAAATTTGTTTAGTTTGATAAAGGAATGTGTACATGAATTATTCAGGGTCAATTCAAGGTGTTTTCATTGTACAAAATAGTCAAATATATTAAAGATTCTTGTCCGTTCTAGGAAAATTTTTTTGACAGATTCGTGTGATTTGTATTTTTTTTAGCCAATAAAGTTTGAAAGTAACTGACTAACTGATGTTCTCTTAGCTATCTTTCTGTAGCAGGTTTGTACTGATGCTTGGTATTTTGGTTTTGTGACATTTTGTAATTAAGAGGGGGAGACGATCAGCATTTGCCTAGAAGTTTGGAGAAGGGATAGAAAATAAAGGAATGAGTCGGTTTATTGGATGGAGGGGGATCTGTCGCCTCCATAAACAGCTGACCATCATAATGTTGGTTCTGCTTGTGTTAAAGACGCCAATTTCTGTAAATGCATAAGAACTTCGAGGTTCGATAGGTGCTGGTAGTAATGGTCCTCTGAGCTTTCAGTTTCAATGCTATCTTAAACCGATATACTCATTTCAACCTTAAAAATATCTCTCTTTGTAAACTGGCCATGAAGTCAGAAGTGGGTGAAGAACGGGACGCTTTTGTACACGAATGTGACCTTAAAGCAGTGATAGTCCCACGACATAAAAATAAACGATACGAGAGTCGCCGCTTGTAATGTGCAGTCTCGCGTTGTGTATAATGTGCACGGCTTGGCATTTCCAATTCCTAAATACGAAAGTACTTCATGAATAGCTGGAAATAGCGAGGGGGAAAAGGATGAGAACAATTTATCGATCAAACGAGGTTTGGGATTAGAAGTTAAATATTTATCTTGCAAGATACTCCAGCCCCCTCTCTCCTTCAATGTGAATTGTGACCAGTACCCTCCAAGCACTTCTTACTGAAAATGCTTTGTTCAGTCGGTACTTATATGAGTTGGTTTACAAGACGAAAAGAGCCACAGATTTTTGTACGCGATTTTATTTCAAAGTTTCAGTGAGCAGAGAAACAAAAATAGCTTAAATTAATATAAAAAAACTGAAAAAAAGGATGTGCAATAAATATTGGTGAATAATTTCATGCAAACCAGCTGCATTCTGCAGAAAAACATTTACGTTTTCTTGTGCAATCTAAGCTTCAATGTGGGTGAGGATGAGGTTCTAGTGGCTTCATCCTCTTTACTTTTTAAATTGCATGAACAATTTTATAACCCAAGATTCATTATGGGAATAAATGCAACGAACTCGACTTAAAAGTATAAAAGTATAAAAATGATGGGAGATTTTGAACACCCGTTTGGCAAGCTTATAAAAACAGGAAGCTGTCCTTTTGAAATCCAAAACAAGACGATAATAAGACAAAATTAAATTGCATGAACAATTTTATAACCCAAGATTCATTATGGGAATAAATGCAACGAACTCGACTTAAAAGTATAAAAGTATAAAGTATAAAAATGATGGGAGATTTTGAACACCCGTTTGGCAAGCTTATAAAAACAGGAAGCTGTCCTTTTGAAATCCAAAACAAGACGATAATAAGACAAAATTAAATTGCATGAACAATTTTATAACCCAAGATTCATTATGGGAATAAATGCAACGAACTCGACTTAAAAGTAGTTTGAGTCGCACGAGTATAAAAATGATGGGAGATTTTGAACACCCGGTTGGCAAGCTTATAAAAACAGGAAGCTGTCCTTTTGAAATCCAAAACAAGACGATAATAAGACAAGACATATCTCCTCAAGAAACCACTTTCAATTTCCCTGTCAAAGTATATATCAAACATCACGTCAGCGTAAATTTCATTAAAAAGTTAGCTTGTGCTTTAAATGTTTCTTGTTCTTGTTCTTGTTCTTGGTTTCCTGTCCTTGTCGTTCCTTCCTTTCCTGAATCCCACGCTACATATGGGTGTTGTTGCCTGAAAACATAGCAGTTCCGTCACTTGAGTTTAACTTCTTGTCAGTACATTTTGTTTGTATTCAAACAGGGAACATCTACATCTATTTCAATCATTTTTTTTTCCTGGTACCCAGACCTTAAATTGTCACCTGCATTTCGTGACCAAGAACAGGGACTTCACTTCAACCCCGTTATTTTTGCAGCCTTAACAAGGAACTTGTTCATTTCGGTGTTTTTATGCGCAGAGAACGCCTTCAATGACTTTCGTTATCGGTAAACTAAATGACCTACGTTTAACTCACCATTGCTCTCGGGTTCTTTCTCTTCAACAGCGCGTTCCTACAGAAATACCATTCACAGTTCAATCAAATAATCCACACATTAATAACGCTCTCAACCAAGTACAAAAGATTTAACTGACAGCATTAGTTATCGATTCAAGTTGTGCCCCAAGTGAGGTGTAAAGACGTGTTGCAATAAAAGTCCTCATCGCGATTACGTCCATGTTTCGTGGATTAAATGTAACAACAGCCGTTTTGTTAACATAGGAAGGGTACTCATCATGTGCATTGCCACCATAACAATTTGGGTCAAATACATGCCACTGACCAACAAAGAGTCGCAGTTTTCCAGAGAGTGGATGGCTCCTCCGAAGAGAACGCTCGACTGTCCCATCGATACACAGTATATAAAAAACGAGTGCGAGGGTTTAATCGTGGTATCCAAATATCGAGAAACAAATGAGAGCACGAGGCCGCTTCGGCTATCTACCTTTGAAAAAGATCACCCCTTGCACAGTCCTCAGTTACATCGATTACAATCAAGACCCAAACTGTTAAAGGTGACGTCACATGTTGATATTTTCATCCGAATAACAAATTAACCAGGAGAGATTGGGAACTACAGAGCTAGAGATTTCTTGTCCCTAGTTGTGTTATTGGTACTATTTCAGCACAGGCACTTCTATTAACAAAGTAATCATTCGCTGGTTTTCGCACCTGGTAAGGTCCACCCTCCATGTAAGCCACAGAATTGGTCATTGCATACTCCTCTTTTGATGACTTATTTCCGTTTTCACCATGAGGCAGATCAATCCACTTTCCACTGCCAACAGAGACGATGAAAACACACTGAGCACCAAAACAACACTAATATCTAGAACTCGTTCTTTGCCATACAGATCTGTTGTAACATCAAAATCGTTATGTTCTTACAACAGTACACAGTAGCAAATTTCACTGATAACATTTCGGGTATTTAACCATAAGCGTTTGAAGCAATCACACCTGGATGATCTCATGGTTGCGTTTATACCTGAAACACATGCCTATTTCGATGTTTGTTTTCCAGTGCTTATAACAACTTCCCCAAAAGAGAATGTCCAATTAATTAAGAAGTCAAGCGTACAACTCACGTGTGGTCTTCGTATCCTTGGGATACATCTATGGAGGAACAAAGATTAAAACTGTCATGACACAAACACTTTTCAGAATGATGTGGGAAATTCATAAGCATATATATGTTGCATCAAGTAGCCTTGAAGTAGCTACTTAAAACACTGTGTTTTCAATAGTAATAACGCCTTACGAAAGAGTAAAATCAACCATCACTTTACCAAAGTTTATTGCATACGAGTCAAAATTGTCCTTTAGCGAGAAAATAGACGAGATATAAACTAATAAAAATACTGTTCAAAAGTTTAAAAAAAATTCTTACAAAGAGGGTAGGAAGACAAAACCGCATGAACAGTGAGCCACTGAAGTTCTAGAATTTTTCAGCATACATTCCGCACCGTTATTAAGATGTCCAGTGGTCAAAAACATAAACGTGATTATCAGTAATTTCATACCTTCCACGCGACGTTCCAACAGGCAACCTTACATTTTTCTTATGTTAGCTAAGTGGTTGCTAATTAAGCTCTCTCACCATTCCAGAAGAACACACTATGATAAAGTGGCACTGTTCACTAACATCTTACCTACGTGTCTTTGTGATATTGTTTGACACAAATGGTATAATTCTGGTAATAGTCTTTTCATTACATGTACCACATGTACCATAGCTGGGTACAGCCTGCGCACTCCGTTTCTCACCTTTTTTCTTCTTCCTCCTCCTGCCACACCAGTCCACCAATAGCTGCAACCACGACAATAATCCACGGTTCAATTTTCTTGCTCCGTGCGGCTACAGCCGGTGGAATAGCTGTAGCGGGTGCTGGAGTCGCTAAGGTATAACGGAGAAGAAACAGAGGATAATTTTCTAACAAATAGTACACTGTATTGATGGCATCAATGCCGGATGCGATTTAGGCCTGACCATCAACCCCGGATTCATTCAACTTCATTCATTGAAAATTCGGCGTCTCCCGTTACTTTCCCAGGCCTGATTTTTATGCTTTTATATAGAGAGCGTGAAAATCACCCAAATGAAATAAATCAGTTTAAAAATAGAGCCTAAACTTTGACAAAAGCTTTTCCCGCGTCCTTTACATGTGTTCAGTTAAGAGCCTCACTGACACTTGTGATATTTAGCCTTACTACGACTTGTTACGGTAGTACTTAGGTTTTGGTTTTACAGTAATTGATCGGACAGCACTCTGTACAACAAAGAATGGTGAACTCACTTATTAGAGTCAGCCGGAGCGTGCCTCTCTGCACTGGTAACGAATAAACCCTGCCATTTTCCACGGATTTTTCCAGGACCTGATGAAGCTCATCAACAGTCTTATTTCCTTTAAAGAAAACTAAGGTGAAGTTCACCATAACGTTGTCACTTGCGTCACTGCTGTCAAAACAGTAGAAACCCTCTGATAAGTAAGTTAGGAACAAGTAGTCTAATTGAAGTCAAAAAATATGTTTGATGGAAACACTTATCTGTGCCACGACGAATGACGTCTTTGCCAATGACATCAAAACAAGTCAAAAGTGAGGGGGAAAATATAACAAAAGGGAAAGCATAGAGCAAAACAGAAATCAATTGGCATTTTTCTCGGATTCATGGTATTTCATTCGGAAGATAACCAGCCGAACAAGCGTTTTCTGTTGTGACCGTTTTTCAGGCGAACGGAGACAAGCGCGAGGAGAGCGCAAAGCGCGAGGAACAAAATGTCATTTTATCGCGCTCCTCTCCTCGCGCGTGACTTACACTGCGTCCGAACAATTTAGATATCACCGTAAGTTTTGGCAACATTCCAATTATCCTCATTATTCCCTTCATTAATGCATTTGTTCTTTTGGGACTGATGAGTAAGCCGCGTGAAAAAAAGAGTTGCACATGGAATACAAGTGCAAAAAAAAAAAAAAGAGAAACAACAACGACAGAAAAGATAATTAGGATGATAATAATAATAACAACAATAATGATAATGATAATAATTATAATGATAATAATACTTTACTCTTACTAAATGTCGTTAACTGTGACGAGACCAAATTGTTTCTCATTTTCGTATAATACAGTCATCTACAAAAAGAGAAACAAAGATTAATTGTAATTTAGGAAAACATACTACTTTAATAGAATTGTTCAAGGATATGAACCGTGTCGATGCCAGTATTAGAAGATAGACGAGATCTAACAAGCTGTTCGGATCTCTCAGTTCAGTCATGCGATATTAAAAGTGGAACCTACCAAATCACCGGGCCTGATAAAAAGCTATAGAGCAAACAGATGGCGAACATGGAGAGTGTGTTAACTCAACATCCATGTCTCGCTTTGTCTCTTGCCCAGGTAAAGAGATAGTTTTCACATCGCATAGAAAGTCGCAACTTCTTGGGGAGGATTTTACCCCACGGCGCAAAAGTCATGATTGAAAGTAAAGATAGAAACCAATGACTGCGACAGCGAGTGATCCCAAACTTTTTAGGACAAAAAAGGGCCCTTTCAAAGTAGGTAACGGTTCATACCGTTCAGAGAAGCAATCAATGCCGTGAACTTTTTATCGTTCAATATTGAAGCAAATCATGAAGTTTTTGACCCACGGAAATTTTGAACAAGCCCAACAATGTTTCTTTAGACCGACAAAAGCATTTTCACAATTCAATCATTCTCTTTATAAGTATTCTTTGCAACTACTACACACACAGGTTGACACCCTCTTACTGGGAATTGACTGTATTATACACAGCAACTTTCCTCGTGACATTAATTTATCTCAACAGTGCTGTGGACGCCGCTTCAAGAGGGAGACAAGATGGAAATGGCACCCCTCAGTTTGTCTTCAACAAAAGAAGCAACAAAAAAGGGAAAGGGACCACCTTTGAGCACTGTAACTATTCTGCTTTGCAGGGAGTGTACTGCCTAGACAGAAACCAGATGGAAATTCATATCAACATTTACTACAGAGCCTTTCAAATATTCACCTGAAAGGCAAACTTCAAACAACTTACATTCTTTATGAAGTCGTTGCTGAGCTCCTTGTACATCTCACTGCTGTGGTTATTGTAGTCTGGGTGATACTTGTATGGACACCTTTCAAGTTTTACTCTCCCCCTCACTCTATCAGTTTCTTTTGTAACTAAAATAAATAGCAAAAAAGCAGTACAAGCATGTATTATTGTAAAAGATTGGGACAACTATGACAATTTAGAGTCCACAGTAACACAAGTAGATCACATAATGATCGATACGCGCTGAGAGCAAAAGTGAACGCTGAAAATTATGGGTTTAAGGATGGCTGTTGATGGACTTTGAATAAACGGCTCAGAAGTATAAAAGCCACAACAGATCAGCACCGTTGGAACTGAAAGGGTTCATGATGTTCTTGTGATGTAAATGATGATATAACTAACAACGATAATAATAACCATCGTGAAGAAAATGGCACGTATATTTAAAAAGGGGCAAGAAGACTTACTTTGCTGAATACAGTGTCTTCCCTGATAACCAGAAGGACAAGTGCAACGGTAAGATGGCGGCGTCTTTATGTCCGTACAATTTCCATTAGCACAGGGGGAACGAGAACAAGGTCTTACTGTTGGAAAAAGAAGATACAACTCTCGTATACACACAATACGTAGTTTTAAGCGGGATTTCTTAGTAAATAAAGGGCAGGTTACATCATGAGTATGCTACCGATGAGGAGAGAGAAAAGCGAACTCATGAGACGTTAATAAACAGAATCCTCCGCTTAATTATTCATAAAGCACTCTCTAAGTCACTACACTTCGTATCTCCCAGGAAAGGTAATTTCCATGTTAAAAAGAGTCTTCTATATCCTTGTTGTTGTTAATCAGGGCATATTGCAATTATTCTTAATAAAATTCTAGAAACGCCAACTTTCCTTGATGAATGCAAGATCACCAATGCGTCTAAATAGAAGGTGTTGCATACCCGATGATATACCAATTGAAGTGTACAATTTTATCTTTTGTTCACTTCATTCTCTCTAGTTTTGAATGTACGTTTGAAAGGAAGAAAAAAATGACTTGTTTAGACCACGCGTCAACAATATGTAATCATATCTAGTGGTGACTCATGGTGAAAATTAAAATCAATTGTCTGAACTGTAGCCTTTAGTTTCGCTTCAAAGAAATTTATTTCCATTGAATTACACAAACGAAACAATCTCCTTCAAAGAACCAAGGGAAACAAATGTGTGAAGTACAACACTTACCCAACACTGTAACAGTAGCATTGACAGACACTGGTGGCTGTACTCCATTAAATGCCGTGCATGTGTACATCTTAACATAAGTTACGCTGGAACTCTTAATAACAAGTGTCTTGCTGTAAACGACTGAGGCATTCTCTCCAAGCACAGAGTAACTCATGTTTGGCACAGGGTTACCAACAGCGTCACACACTAGAGTTGTGTTCTCCCCCAACCACAACACTTGGTCTTTAGGACGAGTGACTATCTCAGCAGGATCTGATCAGATTAAAGGGAATAGTGACAATTCAAACACAAGCCTACGGTCTACGACTCTCATATTTCAATGACGGAGTTTTTGTCGGAGATTTGGATAACATTTGGATATGGTAAAAAAATTTCAAAAGTAATATTTCCCCCGACGCCTAATTTCCACACGTCCTGCTCGCCTCAGTTTTCGATAGGATTAGCGCAATCTGTGATATCATGGTAAAAACAGGCTCTACACTGAATTCTATCCAGACGGTCGTGGTCCTCGCGATATTTGGGCCTAATTTCTTTCTAACCGTCCAGAACCCTGAAGCATCACTTAGGGTAATCGCGGAAATCTGGACGATCATATCGATACCGGGCTTTAGTGCAACCCACAATTAATCTAATGATACGTTATGTTTGTGTCAATTTTGTCTGGATAAGAGAACACAACAGCTCTGATGGTGATCATCTTCGATGTAACCAAGGGTACCTCAAGACTACAACGATTACTGTTGACATTACAGTTTTAAGTCCACAGGGGGAGGGAGAAAAAGATAGTTAAAGTGTCCATTTGTCACTGAATTTTATAAGTTAGTGTCTCCTTTTTGTCAGCTACCAAACGCTTGCTATACAATGTAAAAATATATAAATCATGTAAAAATATATAAATATATTCAACAAAGATCTTTTTTCAAATGAATCTAAAACCAAGATTCTATAGCAAATCTTTTTAATTCAAATGGTGTTATGATGAAAATAATAAAGTTGTCGCTATCAAACATGGGGTAAATATATTCAACAAAGATTTTCAAGTGAATTTCTATAGAAATGGTGCAATAATAAAGTTGTCGCTATCAAACATGGGGTAATTTTTTTAGATTGAAGAGTTGATTCACCAAATGTAAGTGCAACACAACTTACAGTGTACAGATACTGCAGCAATGGCTTTTTTTGGTTCTCCCACTCCATTCCAAGCTGTACATGTGTAATTCCCTGCAGCATTTCTGTCTATGTCCACAATGCTGTAAGTATCTCCTTGATGTAGCACTAATGAACTTTTATCTTTAGTCCACGTGATGTTTGGTGTAGGATTTCCAGAAGCACTGCAGCGTAGAGTTAAGTTGTTTCCTTCAAGGACAACTTGATTGATTGGGGAAGACTCAATCAAGGATGAATCTAAATAAGGAAATATATATATAATGTGTACAGATCTAATCTAAAATCAGTCATTTAGACTGTTTTAGGGTCACCAGGTTTTTCTACCTAAAGGGGACCTACATGTATATGTTGTGGTTCATTTTATCCTTGGTTCAAATGTTGTTTTCCTTTGTTTCAAACTCATTATCATACATGACAATACCCAAAAACAAAAGACAATAAAATTTGAACCAAGGATAAAATTGAACCACAACAGAAACATAAGTGTCCAGTATTTGCTCATCGATAGCTAACTTAGCTGAGGTTTCAATTTACATAGAGGGAATACGTTACATGCATAAGCAATTCTACATTGTACTTACAGTGGATGGTAACTAAAGTCGAGGCTTCAACGAATCCTAAATAGTTCATGGCTTTGCATTTGTATTCTGTTTCGTTGTCTAATCTAGTTAAATTAGCCAAGACGAGTGCCTTTGAATGGGACAAAATTTTATTGCTTCCTCTCTTGGTCCAAGTTATGTTTGGCTGTGGATTTCCAATAGCCTGGCAGACAAGTGTGATGTTGCCACCTTCAATGATGGGTGAAGTGGATGGATATCTGACTATCTCCGGAGGATCTTAAAAGTAAAAAAAATTACTTACTGTGTGAAACAAGTATACGTAAGCAGGAAACTAAAACGCCTTCAGGCAAGATTAACATCGAGCAACAGATCTGGTCTTCTCTTGTTTTCCTTCTTATTCAAGCACAGAGCCTTTTCGTATTGTAAAGATAAACTGGTAAAATTTACAACTAAACATGCAACAAACGACTGCCTAACAAGAGAAAATGTTCCTACTGGTTAAAATATGTACAATTATTAACTCACATTGAACAGTTATGTTAACTGCAGCGGTACCAGGTGTACCTACTCCATTACTGGCTGTACATTGATACTGGATCAAGTTATCTGGTGTCTCTGGTCTAGTAACATTTACCACAATAAGTAACTTGTTTTGAGACAAAACGTTTGTGGTTCCAACTTGAGTCCAGACAACCGATGGAGAAGGAACACCACTGCTGTTACAGATCAAGGTAATGTTTCCACCTTCCACAACTACGCCAGTGTGAGGAACCACCTAAGCAACTGGGGCCACTGAAATAAAATATCATGAATGCAGTTGTTTGTGTTATCAGTTAAGGTTGCTAATATTGCACCAATATTAATTCTAGTTGGCAAATCCCGATTATATGTAAGTCCCTGAATTAAAAAAACTCTGACAGCCTTCCTTGATGATGAAATGCCAAATCCACAAAAATAAAGGACAGAACACAATAACTAATTTCCTAGCCATCTAATTTGACATAATTGCTCATCTGATCACCTTCCCATCAAATCACTAAGCACACAATTATTAATTTTCTAAAACAACAAAATGGTGAATTTATTGTTCGTCACTCGTCGCATGCAAACTTTCTGACCAGATGCATACCAAAACCCCTGGTGTGGACTGCAGCATTACTGTGCCTACCCTGTGCACAGAAACACATCATAGTATGGCGGTATTAAGGTCTATTGAGTCAGTTAAATTGTACATATATATCTAAGGTGAATCTTTAATATTTTAAAGAAATTGGTAGAGCACACAACAACGGACTTGATGCGATAAATTAGCTATTCTAAATTGCAGTCAGCTCTACACTGAACTCACCAACAGCAGTGATGCCGACACTAGCATTGCTTCCTGTGCCTACTTTGTTAACAGGAACACAAGTGTACTCTCCATCTTCTTTTACGGGGATATTAAACATTCCAGAACTGCTGTTACCAATAAGGTTGCCATTAAAGTAGAAGTGATAAGTATGAGCATCAGGGTTGGCATCTGTAGTACAGTTTAGCATCATGACAGTATTATGCAGCACTGTCGTGTTTGTGGGAAGTGCTGTAATCATGGTTGATGTTGGAGGATCTTTTAGACAGAGAATAAAAATCGATAGTGATTACTTGCATGAATATTGGGAAAAAGGTAATGGTTCATTATAATTTCATCAAAGGATACACAGTTAAGTAGAAGTTGTAAAGTGGTGTATAAACATAGAATGATTCAACAGTTACAAATGGTCTAATTTTAAAAAATGATCCCACAGGTATACATGGTCTAACTAAATAAAAGGACCATTTCAACTGGATGATCATTTTAACCGGTCGGATTCAGTTGAACCAGTTGGACCATACTTACTGGTTGCATAATTCTAACCATTGGGCCGATATAACCTGTTAGACCATTTTAAGTGGTTAACCTACTACATCTAGTAAGATTATTTTAACCAGTAGGAACATTTTCTCTTGTTGGGCAATTTCTGCTTGTTGGACCAGTATATCTTGTTTGACCATTTAATTTAGCTAGACGACTTTGACCAGTGGATCATTTTGTCTTAGACCATCTTAGCTGATTAAGCTATTTTAAACAGTTTGACCATTTACTTTGACCAGTTACACCGAGTTTGACCATTTCCACCAGTTGGACATTTCCACCAGTTTATCTAGTTACACCACTTCAGGTGGTTGGACCACATTATCTAGTTAGACCTTTTTAGATGTTTAGACAATTTTAGCTAATAGAACCATTTTACCTGGCAAGACCTTTTTAAATGTTTAAACCATTTTATCTCAAATATTAACTATTAATAAAACATAGATAATTTTTACCAATTAGACCATTTTAACCAGTTGGAGCATTTTATCTAGTTTGATGGGTCTGTAGAGACATGTATATCCTTACATCACAGAAAAGTATTGGCACAGTACCGTAATTTCCGGTCGTTTACCCGCGGGTAATCTGCTGATTTTGCATTAAACGCGCGCCACTGCGGGTAATAGGGAGGTGCGGGTTATGTGACAATTTTAAAATCCAGTGGTAGTTGAATTGAAAAAAAATATCACCAACATGCGTTTCCACCTCTCAAGTAAATTTTATTGTGTTAATAGTGCCGCAAAGCGGCACGAAAACATGACGCCGACTCGAGTTTATTTCACGCATAATTAGTTGCGCGACGAACAAATTATTATCGGCACGCGTGAAAACAAAACCTTGATGGTGACAAAAATTAACCATAGATATCCGGCGCATCAGTAACAAATTTCCATTTAACACTAGCTTGAGCTAAAGAGAATTTTCCCGTTTTAAGGGACTTGTTAGGCCCAATAGAACCAGAGATATCGATTTTTTCAGAAATCGCCGACAGTACTTTATAATTCAACTTTTAATACTCACCCAGCTTTTTTTCAACAAATCAACATGGCGCTGAACGATCGCTCGCACAAAATGTGGCCACAAATTCGCATTCTGTCAAGTATGAAACGTTGAGATTTGGGCATGGGCCGCTAGTGTTTTTACTGTATAATCTTATCAATAAAGTACATGCTAATATCGACAAAGACGCTTCGAAGTTTTCGAAAGTTGGATCAGACAACTTTTAAAAGACTGAAATGTATCACCTTAATGTCACGTTTTCGCCACCAAAAAGTTGAATAACAACGTGCGGGTTATCCACCAGTGCGGGTAATCTGGTGACTTTTTTTTTCGCCGTATGCAATAATCGGCCGGTGCGGGTAATCGGCCGTGCGGGTAAACGACCGGAAATTACGGAAAAAGGAATTGTATTAACCTTAGTCAAATAGAATTCAGAACTGGTCTTTGGGCAAGACAGTGAGTGATAATATCATCATGCCTTTACATTTAAGTTTGTGAATCTTAATTTTAAGATTTCTCTTACATAATTATGAACATGTCAAAAAAGTCAAAATGCTCTTGATCATTAGGCAAATTCTCCTTAAAAAGTAAGTACCATATTAATGTGTAGACAACAGTATGGAGAACTTGCAAAGTGATGTTGGCATATAAAGGGAAAAGCAACCTGAATTTAACAGTTTTCTTTTTGTAGATGTTGCTTTTGTTTTTGCAGTGTACCAACTTATCTCCTTTGTGATTCTTGGTTTTCATGAAAGAGTCATTGAATACTCACAATGAACGGTGAGCTGAGCATATGCCTCCACATCTTTGGTGACATTGTTCCATGTCCTGCATTTGTATCGCTGTCCATTAAGTTTTCTTGAAACATTTTCAATTACAAAGGTTTCTCCTGTATGTAAAACTGTACTGCTTCCTTCTTGGGTCCAGATAATCTGTGAGGGTGGATTACTTGATGCATTGCAAAAGAAAGTAACATTGTCATATTCCAGGACTGTCCTGTTTCTGGGAGCAGAGACAATTTCAGCCACATCTGAAAGAGAAGCCAACAACAATAATTCATGAAGTAAAAAATTGTTCTGAAGAATCAGAAGACAACCCTTGCTCATTAATTCTTCAAAACTGTACTGTGGATTATCTCTACCAGTGTTCATAAAAGGAGACTTACAGATTATAACATTTTTATCTGGATAAACACTATTCAGTTGAATTGTTAACCTTCGTGTAGACAAAAGTTCTGTAAAATACTTTTTTCTCACATGAATAATGATTACTGATACAGTGAGAAAACTCACAGTGTACAGTGATAGCAGCAATAGCTTTCTTTTGTCCACCAATTCCATTCCAAGCAGTACAAGTGTAATTCCCTTGCTATCTCTGGAAGATCTTTAAAGTAAAAAAATATACATATTCAATACTTAGACAGGTATGATTTAGCATGAGGAATTATTAGATGTAATGAATTCCCTAGAGCTATAGAAATAGTTGCAAAGCTAAAACAGGTAAGTCAATGGGATAATTAGAATAATAAGCATACTGGAAAGTAATGAACAGATAAAAAGATATAATATGAAACTCAAATGCAAAATAGTTGGTGCATGCACATTGCCTATCCACTGTGCAAGGGGGCAAAAATTACATAATGCACAATGTACCTAATAAATGATTCAATATATTCAATCTCCAGTTGTTGAATGGTCTGGTTAATTGTGGGTCCAGATAGTCAAGGTTGGACTGTATCTTTCTCTAAGAGGTGATTTTTTCATACAGAATTGTTATCTTTTTACCATGTACATGTATTAGCATTCTATCTCTAGGGATCTGCATTCCATTTCCATACACATGTAGTGAAACTTTACTCATTGTTATGCTACACTGTTACAGTTTACAGCTAACCTAGTGGCCATTGATTAAAAATAGATTACCATAAACTCACAGTGAACAGCAATGCTGACTGTAGTTGTACTAGATGTGCCCACTCCATTCCTGGCTGTACACTGATACTGGATCAGGTTATCTCTTGTCCCTGGTCTGGTTACATTTGCAACAGTCAGTGAAATTTTTTGAGACAAAATGACCGGGCTGCCAACTTCAGTCCAGACAACAGAAGGAGAAGGAACACCACTGACATTACAGATCAAGGTGATGTTTCCACCTTCAATGACAGTGCCAGTTTGAGGAAACACCTCAGTAACTGGGGCCACTGAAATAAAATATCACAAATATGAGGAAAAGAATGCACCAGATAAAGATGAGGTGCCTAAATTGATAGAGATGTATTTAACACTTTAGCTCCCAAGGTCTGATTGTTAATTCTCCCCTCTTGCTGCTACACATTTCCTTGTAAATAAGTGTCAAGAATTTGGTGTTGAATCAAGATAACATATTTTACCAGACAAGTTTGAGCATTCTCATTACCGGCATGCTGGATAGGGTATGGATATTATAGGGAGAAGATACATGCCAATCACTTCTGGAAGTTTTAAGGTTAAAAAAATTGTCAATCTGCAAATTAAGTTAATGAGAAAAGTACCATGAGTGCTAGTTTCTCCTAAATTTGCAACTCAGTCATCAGACCACCTATATTCCAAGAATAGTTTATCAGTAAATCTGAAAATCCTTGTCACTTGCATTCATCCCTTGAAAGTTGTGATAATAATTGATGGCCATTAAGTAATTACTATATATTCACTTTTTTATCCTCAGTCTTAATGCATCAATTCATTTGAGGCATTCAATTACCCCACTCAACCACAATTTTTTTAATGGTTTTTTTCACTTTAATTTTTTCAGGCCTTATTTTAACTCCTGCTTAAGTGCTGTTCATCACTGTAAAGATTGCTTTCACATTAATTTCTCACAATTCAATTCAATTCAATTTTATTTGTTAGCAATACAATATTATCACAGTCCTAGGTGACCCGCAATTAGCAAGCTATTCTAGGCGGGCCACCCTTCTAAAACAAGTGCTGTCTCTGCTAAGGATCACATACCGATACAATTAAACAAAGATAATCATTAATAAAAATACAATTGTTAAATAAAATAAAATAAAATTAAGTCCGTTGAATAATTAAATAATCAATTGCAAAGTTATCAAGATATATAATACAATTGAAACAAGACTTAAACGAAGAGTTACTTTATCAAGAGATATTTACAAATTTCTGAGCAGCGTATATCAACATTCATCTCCTCATTTTCCAAAAGTTTTAACAGGCGATTTTTAAGTTCACGCTTAAACGGGGTTCTGTTTTTAATACGAAGTTCTTTTGGGATGCTATTCCACAATCTTACACCTATTCTAGCAAAAGAAAATAAAAGTTGGTTAGTTCTAGACGCTTTAACGTACAGATTAGCCGTTGCTGAGAATCTTGTGAAATGGTGATGAACCTGCTCGGAGTGGATAAAGAGCATAGAAATATTAGACGGGGCACGGTGATTATCAATGTCATGCATCAAAGAGGAAACCAAATGAGAATAGAGCATAGTTATTGGTAAGATTCTGGAGTTAACAAATAGCGGGGCACTATGAGATTTGCTATCCGCAAAATACATTAGTCGTAGAGCACGTTTTTGTAAAATGAGAACCTTATTTAAATGAGTGTTATTCTCACACTGCAGTTCACATGTATGATTTTTATATATTCACAGTCATTGCTTGCTGGTGTGATCAACAAATATTTTGGCAAAGTCACACATGAGCTATTGGTGCTACTGCTTGGTTTTTCACAAGTAAACATCAATCTATGTAAAAAGTTTTCTTCTTGGCCATTTGCTCACAAAGCAGACTCTTTACCTTTATACTCCTCCATACTTAACTTAGAACTAAGAACATGTATATTCTAAAGGTTCAAATTTACCCAACCCCATCCAGGCAATATTTAAATGCCCAACCCCTGGGTTGCCCTAGAGGGGGTGGTGGGGTTGAATCTTTATATTGACTGCATATTATAAGGTTGAATCTAAAATGAAACTCGCCAACAGCAGTGATGCCAACACTTGCATTGCTTCCAATGCCCACTTTGTTTTCAGGAACACAGGTGTACTCTCCATCTTCCTCCACACTGATGTTAAACACACCAGAGCTACTGTTACCAATAATTAAAGTATTAACCCTAACTTGTTATCAATTGACTGTTGTTGGGTTAGGGGAGGGGTAGGTGGGCAGTTGCCCAGATACTGATATTGATTCAAAGTTCCTTTATATCATCTTTGTACTTCTAGAACAACCTTGGTTATGAAAACAAAATAGAGTTCACTCAAAATTTACCTTAATAATTTCACCAACAACATATATCCCAAACTAAGTATTCTCATGAACCTTAGTGGCTTTGACAAACTAATAACCTCATATGAAAATAATTTATGACCACCATTTATCTCAACTTCATAATGACTTATTTCAACCAAAAGATCAGACATCACACTCACCAACAGAAGTGATGCTCACACTAGCATTACTTCCTGCACCTAAACTGTTGACAGGAACACAAGTGTACTCTCCATCTTCCTTCACAGTGATGTTAAACACACCAGAGCTGCTGTTACCAATAAGGTTGCCATTAAAGTAAAAGTGATAAGTATGGACACTGGGGTTGGCATCTGCATTACAGCTCAGTGACACAGCACTGTCACATAGCACTGTAGTATTTGTCGGAACAGTTGTAATCATGGTTGATGTTGAAGGATCTTTTGGATGGCAAAATCAAATAAAAAATGAGTCTTTGTTGACTGGCAAAACTTTAACATTCAGCTAAGTATATGTGCAAAAAAGACTGCTGTAAATTCAAGGTAGTCAATTAACTGCAAAATCAAATAAAAAAAATGAGTGTTTGAATGTATACTTGCAAAAGTTTAACATTCATCCAAGTATGTGTACAGAAAGAGATTCTGCTATTAAATTCAAGGTAGTCAATTAACTTACAGTGAACATCAATGCTACAGTTCAAAGTCTCATTTCTCATGATTCCATTCCAAGCCATACACTGGTATCTTCCAGCCTGACTTCTGTTTCATGCCCTTATAACATAAACATTGTCTGTCACCAGAACCTTTCCAGACTTTATCCAGGCTGTTTGAGGTGATAGATTACCAGTTCCATTGCATGATAATGTTGCTTTTGTTTTTACATTGTACCATCTTATCTAATTTTAAATTCTTGGATATCATGAGAGAGTCATTTAATACTCACAATGAACAGTGAGTTGAGCATATGCTTCCATATCTTTGGTGACATTGTTCCATGTCCTACATTTGTATTCCTGTCCATTAAGTTTTCTTGAGACATTTTCAATGACAAAGGTTTCTCCTTTATGCAGAACTGTACTGTTTCCCTCTTGGGTCCAGATAATCTGTGAGGGTGGATTACTTGATGCATTACAGAAGAAAGTAACATTGTCATATTCCAGGACTGTCTTGTTTTTGGGAGCAAAGACAATTTCTGCTGCATCTGAAATAAGGTCAACATCAACAACAATCACTATCTTTACCAAGAAAAGGGATATTCAAAAGCCCCCCACCCTAAAATAATTGTGTATTAAAGTGGCAAGAAAGTACACCTCCATGTAAATTAGTGTAACATCTCCAAAGCAACTCTCTCAAGCAAGGGAACACCCCCTTTTGTACAGATGCAGCTTGGAATGTTATCCACAAAAGAAAAGTTTGTGGAGTCTTGGAGGTTGATCTTTTTAAGTAAATGTTAAGTATGAAAAATTGCTTATGAAGTAATTACTTCCTTTAGAAAATATGACCCACCTTGGCTGAACAGATTCCAGCAAAGCAATTAATTCCTTTTAGGGGCTTAGCAGGGAATTGTAAATTTACCTTGATAGCCTGACACCAAGCTGTGTAAGCAGAAAATCTCTCAAACATTCTACATAATGTACACAGTTGCTTCAACTGCAAGCGTGACTTGCCTCAGACATCCATTCATGGAAATGCAGGGGGTCAATATACTCAACTATAGAGCAACAGGTATTTGAACATCCTAACCACCAACATAGGGGTTCTCTACAAGTTTTTAAGTAATTCATCAAAGATTAAGTTTGTCCTTAGATAAATTGAAAATTAATTTCAGAAAAACTCTGAGGCTTGTTATGGTAGTCTCTATACTAAATTTTATATCAAAACATGTTTTAATATTGTTTAGAAACATTTGTGTTTATATCTGTTCATTAAAGCTACTCAATAACCCTCTTAGGATATAAAAAGTTTTAATCTATTCAAAGTAGTATTATTTTATTTTACACCAGTTACAGTTCACATACAGTGTTTTGGTGATTAAAATACACAGCTTGGCTGAACTTGTACCAGATGTACTTGTCAAAATCACTGCTTCTTTCTGTGAAGAGTATAGCCTATTTTACTCCATATACTGTAGAGGATGATACATTCTCAAAACAAATACTGTGATTTAAAAAAGATGATTTTAATTTTTTGTTATGAACACCAACAATCATTCATGTATGCAAAATAACACCAAGAGAGGGACCATTCCTTAAGTGACATTAGTTTCATAATTTAACTGCCTTGTACTTTTTGTTATGAACACCAACAATCATTCATGGATGTTCTAATATATGCTTATAAACCTTTATATGTGTTAATTTATTTCTTACAGTTTATTATCAGAACTAAAACTCACTACCTTCATTTTCAGAACAAAGCACGTTTTAAAGAATCAGGAGACAAACTCTGTGTAAGAAACAGCACTTGGGTATTAAACGGTTATTTATAGTAGAAAACTATATACAGTCAAGCGACGTTCTACAACGTTTTAGGAATTCAAGCACACGGTTGTGCAATCACGTGTAAATGCATTTCATTGGCTGAATCAACAATATAGCAGAAACTCGTGTGGTTAGATATCACATAGCAAGTCACGCAACTTGCCACACTCTGTTCAAGAATTCTTATAAAAAGTACTCAAATTACATGTATCTCAAACAATTTTTGTATGAAGCAGCTTGCTCCTGTGGATTATAACATTTTTATCTGGATAAAGCACTTACCAGTTGATTGTTAACATCCATGAAAATGAAATTTATGTAAGATAAGTTTTCCTCACATGAATAATGATTACTGATATAGTAAATAAGAGCAAGGAAACTCACAGTGTACAGTGATAGCAGCAATAGCTTTCTTTTGTCCTCCAACTCCATTCCAAGCTGTACAAGTGTAATTCCCTGCAGCATTTCTGTCTATGTCCACAATGCTGTATGTAATTCCTTGATGTAGCACTGATGGACTGTCTTCTTTAGTCCAGGTGATGTTTGGTGTAGGATTGCCACTTGCATTGCAATGTAAAGTCAAGTTGTTTCCTTCAAGGACAACTTGACTAACTGGGGCAGACTCAATCAAAGATGGATCTGAATAAGAATAATTGTGCAGATTAAAACTAAAATCAAACATTTAGACTGTACATAATTATGTATAGTACAAGAATGGCTAAACAAAACAACAACAATAAACCAACTATTTATTTGCCTTAAAAAACAGAGTACATATAAATGGAAAACATGTGGAAATAACAATAAGGTAAAAAAACACTCAAAAATTAATAATAACAAACAAATAGAGCTCAGTAGTGACATGAATAATTAATAATACTTACAGTATTATAAATACATACATGTCATACATATATACACTTTAGAATGCAAAGACAAGTAAGTAAATAAATAAATAAATAAATAAGGCAAGGCATGAAAGTACTCTATTGACATCAGAGACCTTAATTTCCCAGATGGGGTCTTAATACCTGTAGTTGATACCCTGCAAAGTAAACATTCCCTAGACCAAGAAAAGTGTCCAGAGTTTCCTTATCAAAATCAGATGTCAGTTGGCAGAGTTTCACTGTACATATATATTCCAGGTAGTAAATTAACTTACAGTGCAAAATCAAATAAAAAATGAGTGTTTGAACACTGGCAAAAGTTTAACATTCAGCCAAATATATGAACAGAAATAGACTATACTATTAAATTCAAGGTAGTCAATTAACATACAGTGCAAAATCAAATCAAAAATGAGTGTTTGAACACTGGCAAAGGTTAACATTCAGCCAAGTATATGTAAAGAAAGAGACTCTGCTATTAAATTCAAGGTACTCAATTAACTTACAGTGAACATCAATGCTACAGTTTGAAGTCACATTTCTCATGATTCCATTCCAAGCCATACACTGGTATATTCCAGCCTGACTTCTGTTAATTGCTCTCATAACATAAACACTGTCTGTCACCAGAACCTTTCCAGACTTTATCCAGGCTGTTTGAGGTGATGGATTACCAGTTCCATTGCAGTATAATGTCACATTATCTCCTTCAGTTACTGGACTGGGGCAATGTTGTATAAAAGGCTGTGGTGGATCTGCAAAGACATGTTTATCTATATATTACAGAGTAGTATTACCTCAGCATCACTATCACTATAAGAAAAACAATGGCAATAAAAATCCTTAAATTAGCTTTAAATAAAGAATTCATGCAAACAAAAAATATTCTCTATCTCTTGGTTTCATATTTGTGCTGGTGCTTGGACAAGTCAGTGAGTGATGATATCATCATGGATCATTCAATCTATTCTTTAGAGTTACTTTAATTAATAATAAGCATATGTACCCACTGGTAACTGGCCTTGTTATACCATGACATAATTATTATCAGAACACTACAAAACACTCAAGAAAATCAGCCCTTACTTGGTGTATAAGACACAGTATACATCACACTATTGTTTTCCCTGGTTTTCTTATTCCCAGTTGTGATGAATTCTGTTGTGACATATACTGTTTCTTCTACACCAAGTAAGAGCCAGAAAATCTAAGTGGCTCAACTGAGAGGGAAAAAATGGAGAGGAGTTTGCTCTAGCCTGTGTAATCATTATCAAGTAAAAACAAGAATACTGTAAAAACTTGTGTATTAGTTGCACCCCCAACTTTCAAGTATGATTTTGGAAAAAAAGACCTCCAAAAAAGCACTCTTGTAAAAAAAGTTGGTCATTTGTTCCAAATGTTGACAATAAACTTGACTTGAAATCTAATGTTGTGCACTTGCAGCAACATTAGTAAGTTAATCAACTCTGAAAAAACCTTTTAAAAGCTTTTCTTTAATTGTTTTTCCTATTCCCTGTGACTGACAACAGTTGTCTTCATTGCTAAAGCCCACAGCTCAAATGAAAACAATGGAATTAGAACAAAATTAAAGCACGGGAGAACAATGCAAAATGTTTGCTTGGTAACCATGCAGGAAGTCTGGACACCAGAGGCAAATAATGGTCTCCTGTATAAGCCACACTTGCAATTTTTGGCCCAAAACTTAAACAAAAAGGTGTGGCTTATAAACAAGTCTTTACAGTAATACAAATGTATGTTCAGCACATTAACACTATATAAAACTTACAGAGGACAGTGACTTTGGGAGTAACTTGTGCTAATCCCAATGAATTTGCTGCTATGCATTTGTAAACAGACTGGTCATCTTCTCTCAAAACATTTATTATGGTAAGTCTCTCTGATGTGGACAGTTCACTGTTGTTTCCTTGTTTAGTCCAAGTAATGTTGGGCTTTGGATTTCCGGTGGCATTACAGAACAGGATCAACCCACTTCCTTCTACAACTTGATAAGCTGATGGGGCATGGTCAATATCAGGGGGGACTGTAGAGACAAATATCATGGATACTATTTGAGATTTGTTTCATGCATGATTGCTAGAACATCATATGTTTTATTTTGCAAAGCAACCTGTAAGAACTCACACTTACCTTACACACCCAAAATATCATCAAGAGAGTATATTATTTTCCTTTATACAGCATTTCACATGTTCAGTGACTCAAAGAGAACAGAATTTCACAGCAAATTTGTTTTCTTCAACCATCCCCTCTTCATACCTCTTCTTTGTAGATGCATTTATTTCCAAAATTAAGTCAGAGGCAGATCAAGGACATTTCTTAGGAGAGGGGGCACCACTTAGAAATGACAGAACTGATGTCTACTATGGCAAAAAGGAAGGGCTAAAGCTCAAACTTCAGGGCCAAACTACTATTTTCCTTGTATTTTACACAAATTCTTAAAGCTTGTCTCATGATTGTTTTAATTTAATGGCAAATAAACCACACACTTTTTTTTTCTTTTTTTCCGTACTCGTTATATAAGAAAACCACACGTCATCTCAAGGGAATGGAGTGCACACCCTATACCCCTCCCCTAGATCCACCCCTGTAAGTAAATATAACTGTTAAGTATCTTGGAGAGTTTAGAAATGACTATTGCAACTGGATTCCAGATAAACAATGCATATCTCATACATTGTATATCAAATGTCTTAAAAAGAAATCAAATAGACATTTGTAGCCACATTTTTCTTTTCAAATCTACAAATTTCCCTTTTCATTGCAATTTCCACTTACAATGGACAGTGATATTGACAATAGCTGTAGCAGGTGTCTCCACTCCATTACTGGCTGTACATTGATACTGGATCATGTTGTCTGCTGTCCCAGGCCTGCTCACATTCACAACAGTTAGTGATGGTGAAACAGAGAGAACATCTGAACTACCAATTCTTGTCCATGATATGCTGGGTTCAGGTTTACCAGATACATTACAGCTCAATGAAATGTTACCGCCTTCCTTAGTAACTATTATGGAACTTGACAAATCCACTGATGGAGCCACTAAATTTATAACAGAGAGAATGAAATAATTTTATACTATTGTAAAATAATGGATAAAAAAGGAAAAACACTTTCTGATCTGGAAGTTTTAGAAACGTTTGCCACTTTTGATGATTTAATGAATTGTTTTTTAGCGACTTTTAAGGGTGCAATATAATGGGTGCAATTATTATGGATTCACAAATATTTCAAAAGTTTCTTGACTAAATGTTTGTATCTTGAGAAAAATCCAACCTGGTTTAGAATAAATTTGCCTGAAACATTTCACCAATCACATGTAACTTGAAAGGAGTATTCCCTTCAAAGAAAGAAAAAACAAAGTACAAAGTACCTTAGAATACAATCAAATATATGACAACCATTGATTTGGACTTAACTATCACTTATTTCAACCTGCAATCTGACTCAACACTCACCAACAGGAGTGATGCTGACGCTAGCATTGCTTCCTGTGCCTACTTTGTTAACAGGAACACAGGTGTACTCTCCATCTTCCTTCACACTGATGTTAAACACACCAGAGCTACTGTTACCAGTAAGGTTGCCATTAAAGTAGAAGTGATAAGTATGAGCATCAGGGTTGGCATCTGTACTACAGTTAAGCTTCATAGCAGTATCATCAAGCACTGTAGTATTGATTGGAGTAGTCAACAGAGCTAAGGCCTTTGGTAAATCTATGAAAATAAAATTCAAGTATATTTTTGCCATAGACTTCTGTGCTTCCCAAGAAAGAATCACAAAGGGTTCTACAGTGTATTTTTGTTGGTAAGTAAAAACAGTCAAATGGAGAATGAAATGTTCAGTCAAGATTTAGTAGGTAGGGGTAGGTAAATACTCTAAAGTATATACCAAAGCAGAAACAGTGTGAATACCTGTAAAGAATTATTATTGTAAGTAATGTTGTAGTTGACCAGAGGAAACAATTGTGAATGACCACTGAAATTTTTTAAAAGCTAATTAAAGAAACATTTTATGGTACAAATCTTCTATCAAGAAATAATATTCCTTTAACTAATTATTACTTTGAATTTAAATAATCTTAAAGAATATGATCTTACATATGAACTGAAATTCCTAGCATTTTACATAAATCTTATGCTTGTAAAGTAAGGTATCCTGCATGCACTTACAATGTACATCAATTGAACAAGAGTTGGTGCTGTTGTTTCCAATTCCATTCCAAGCAAGGCACTCATATCCCCCAGACTCACTGCGTGCGATACTCCTAAAAATCAAAGTCTTGTTGTATGTCAGTATCGCCCTTGATCTTGCTCTGATCCATGCAATGCTGGGCACAGGGTTACCAATGGCACTGCAATGAAGTGTCACATTGTCACCCTCAGTTACTGGACTGAGACACTGCCGTGATGTTACACTCTGTTGATCTGTAAATAATATTTTTATAATATATGATTGATAAGAGATCAGAGTAGTGCTTCAGAATACAACTTGCATGCCTCTTTGGATACAACTTAAAATTTCTTAACAATGTCCTTTAATTGCAAAGTTATCTTTCTTTTTCAGCCCTGTGACATTGGGCATGTCTTGATGACATCAATCTTACGTTGGTGACCACTTCCTTTGAAATTAATACCGACTTAATAATGCACATTTTAAGATATCAATTAAAGCCCAACTAAATTTTCCACAGGAATTTACTATTAAGACCTTTTGAGTAGAACTCAGCTGTATGGAAAAATCAATAATACCCATTGCCTGTTGGAAACAATCAATTCAAACTGAAAATTTGCCAATTACATTAACATTATAGTTGTTTTAAAACAGTAATGCTTAGATGTATGTTACTGCACAGATTAATTTTATATGCTCAGGTGCAGGGTCATCAGACGCACATGTACAATTTTCATGTGCACAGGAAAGAAGTGGTAGAGCATCGGAGCATGGAATACAAAGGTCTGAGGTTCCATTCCCCAAGGGAATGTGAATGTGAGCAGGCCTGGGACAGCAGACAACATGATCCAGTATCAATGTACAGCCAGTAAAATTGACAGGGAAAAACTCCCAATACTTACACCAAACAGTAAGAACTGCCATAGCTTTCACTGAAGTGATGTAGTTTTGTGCTGTACATTCAAAAACAGATCCATCATCTTCTCTTGTCAGCTTTGACAAAGTAAGAGTCTCTGATGTTGACAGTTCACTGTTGTTTCCTTGTTTGGTCCAAGTAATGTTGGGCTTTGGATTTCCAGTGGCATTACAGAACAGGATCAACCCACTTCCTTCTACAACTTGATAAGCTGATGGGGCATGGTCAATATCAGGGGGGACTGTAGAAATAAAACAAGCAACACCATGATTATGGGAACAAAAAATTACACCAAGATCACAGGAACAAAATGTTTGAATCAAGTTCAATGTGCATCTCACTACTTACAACGTGTACAGGTACCCTGCAATAACCCCATTGAGAATCTTTAGAATTGAAAATTTTATCACTCCTTTAACTGCTCACAGTACACTCATTCAGAAATAAGTTACAGCTGTACTACAAACGCTGCTTTTAATTGATCATTACTTGATATAATAAGTTATAATAATAGTCGCATTCAAAATTCATCAGCAAAAATAAGTCAAAGCTGTGTATTTACTTGAAGTATTGTTTGCTAGGTTCCCTTACAATAATTTATGCAACAGCTTGTGTGATCATAGCATGCAGTGAACACTCCACCAGGTGGCTTTCCTTGAATAGGTATTTGAGAAGTTGGTTTTTTGGATGGATTAACACTGTATGCCTGGCTTCCATTCCTCTGGCCTTATTATCAACCTGGCCTATTTAGTTCTTTAATAATGCAACTCTGCTATCCTTCTGTGCTAGAGTATCCATACAGTATTCCCACTGAAAAGTGGATATGTGCTGCACTATCAAACTGTCAAATGGCTAGATCTACTTTTAATATGACAGACATTTCATGAAAAAATAGAATAAATTTCATGGGTGAGAGAAATTCTGACTGCAACTTACAGTGAACAGTGACATTGACTGTAGCTGTAGCAGGTGTCTCCACTCCATTACTAGCTTTACATTGATACTGGATCATGTTGTCTGCTGTCCCAGGTCTGCTTACATTGACAACTGACAGCAAAGAAGTGTGAGAGAGAACTTGTGATGAGCCAGCTTTTGTCCATGCTATAACAGGTGCTGGTTTCCCAGATGCATTACATGACAATGTGATATTGTTTCCTTCTTGGACAGAGGTCATAGTGGGGAAAACATCTACTAAAGGTGCATCTGAAACAGATTATGGGCAAAATAATGATAAGTTTTTTTAAGCACAATTCTATATGCTATAAATGTAGTATTGCTGGATTGATACTTATGTGTAACACAACAGTTGTTATTATTTCTGTGGCTAAAATAGTATCTTGCTTCCATGGAATTGGTTTTAAAAGTGAAAAAGGGGGTCTCCCTAAGCTTTTTAGATCTTGCTTTGCAAAGCACATGACATTATTAATAGTACATTGAGTGCTCCTTCTGATCAAAAACAACCATATAAGAGTATGGAGGTATATCCAATGGAAAAAGTGGTTTTCAATCATGTTTGTGCTACCTTTAATGTGCATAAAGGCTAGTTTCGGTTAAAAATACAAGATCAATTTATTCAATCAGTATTTTGCCATGATTAATACCTGTTAAATTTCAATATTTAGTTTTGGGTAGTTAAAAAACAAAAACAAGTTTATTGTAAACTGTTATTACTTACCAACTGCTATGACAGCAAAGGTGGCATTGTCACCTATGCCGACTGCGTTCAAAGGTACACAAGTGTACTCTCCATCTGCTTGAACTGTGACAGGATACCTACCCAAGTTGTTCACACCAATAAAGGTACCATTAAAATAAAAATTATAAATATGTGCTGCAGGGTTGGCATCTGTTCTGCAGCTGAACACCAAGCTACTGTTACGTAACACAGTATTATTAGTTGGGCTGGATGTAATACTTGTTCCAGTTGGCTTGTCTGTGAAAAAGGAAAAAAAAAGAAACTGAAAAGGTTGTTTCACTGGTCTTCTTACCATTGAACTCATCAAACTTTTTGCATAAGTGATGTATTAGAACCCACCAATTTGCCAGATGAGGTTGAGATAGCATCATAACATTTAAGAACCACTTCCCTTCCACTTTATTTCCTATCACCCATGGCAGGTAAAGGAAGCATGGTCCTAGTTATCAAACCCTTCAACCCTCTATAATCCAGCTGGTAATTACACCTCAGGCTAAATAGAAACAATTTCCATGTTCACTAATTTTAAGAGAATCTTGAGTTAATATCCAGATGACAACAACTGGTTGATAGCTTTGCCAACTCTACTTTTCTTAGCACTGGCTGATGAATTGGAAAAATTATTGTGCGAAGTTTTAACTGAAATTCTTATTCAAAAGACCAAGGTTACTGCTTGTGAATAACTTCCAGTGGTGTGCTATCCACAAAAAATATTAGACTTTTGGGACACAAATGAATAAAGGGGGTAAGTTTTTAAAGAAACTGTGGTGCTGTCAGTGGGAGAGTATAGCAAGGTGAATTAGTGTTATCAACTGAGTTGATAATGTAAATTGGCCACCATGAAGAGTTTGAAAGCTGAGCATTAGCCCTTCCCTCTGACTAAGGGTAACGCTCGAAATGTCAGCTTTCAAACTCTACACAGTTGCCAATTTCCATTATCAACTCAGTTGATAATACTAAATAACCCTTTTTCCCCTCAGAAAATTTAAGTATGGGTATCCTGATGATTTACCATTCCTTTTGAGCTTTACCGAAAAAAGTTGTATGCTTTTAAAACACTGTAACTTCACAGGGTTAAGTGGTTTTTTTTATAACTAGTGTGAGATAACTTGGCTCTGACAGCCTGAAAGCATGTGGCCTAGTCATTACAATGTTCCCACAAGAGAAGACATTTGACCCCTGTGTTCCTGGCCTCTGCTTTGTATCATCATTACTCATGTTTTGAAATAACTTGGGTAAGCTCTTGTGCTTGAGCAATGAACTGTGAAATAAACTTTAATCACTAGACTCACAACAATTATTGACTCAACCTAACTTAAATAACATGGACAATGGATTTATATGGCTATTAAAATAACATTACATAACGGAAGGTCAGCAAAATAAATTCTTAGCAAGTTACCAATACATAATCAACTTGGGACCGTTTCACAATCAACATTTTACACCACACCACATATACTGAAATAATTTGAAATTAATTACTGAAATAATTACACCACACCACATATACTGAAATAATAGCAGCTCTGGGGTACATCATGATATTTAAGCTATCATTTTGACAAATAAACAAAAACTATTATAGACCATTAGTATGCAATGATTATCCCTGGAATGATTTGCATTTACATTTGTATCATTTCAAAAATTCTTTTGAACTGATTTTATACTCACAATGCACATTAAGATAAGTGCTGGCATTGACAGTCACATTTAAGCCATAATCAGCTGAGCACCAGTAGTATCCTGATTGATTCCTGAATACTGGAAAGCTGAGTGTGTCTCCTGTACCAACAGTGAGTTCATCCTTCTACCACTTGATTACAGGGGCTGGATTACCACTAATATTACAGACAAATGTTACTGTGTCTGTTTCATTGATGGTCTGGTTACTTGGTGTACCGATTAACTTGACGGGCGCTAACATTGAAAAATAACATTAATTAAATATTTGATTATATCCAAACAAACTTCAAGTCAAGAGAATGTTTCTAAAACAATGTCTCAGAAAAAACCAGTTGATTTCATTTCATAATGTATCATAATGGAAAAATACACACTTTTACAGCACATACATGTCTTAATTTGACTTAAAATCTGCCTACCTGCACTTCACTTAAGAAACTTTTGTGGCTAGATATACCAGTTAAACCATGGGTGACACAGGTTCCCTTTATAAACCTCGAGTGACTCAGTTAATTTTCCCTGCTCTGTGGCAACTATGATACAGAGCAAGCCGTGGCTTAGTCATTCAAAGGACAGATAACCTTATCTAATGGATAAATTACTATCCAGTGGATAGGGATTTATCCACCTTTTAAACAACCAGTGCTAGGTCTTTGGTTTGTCAATCCCTATCCCAATCTCAACTGTGTGAGTTTCAAAACATTTCTGCTGTGGATCCACAGTAAAAATAGGCATCAAGGTAAATGTCTGCTATCATTGATAGTAATTTACCTCATTCTTGTTCATATTTTTACATGGATTTGGCCGTTATAGGTCAACAGAAAGGTTATACACTCATTACATAACTTGCTTCATGCTAAAAATAATATTTTACCCACGAGTTCAAAAAAGTTTTGACATGCTTGTTTCAAATGTTAATCCTATTACATAACATAGTTCACTGGGCTAGAGTGATCCCCAAAAATTCATAATGTCAAACTCTGATGAACTAAAATAAGGCAATAGAGCTGCATTTGAGCTACATTGTAGCAGTGAACATTTGCTGAAGCCATATAAAAAGATAACCGTAGTTTAAAATGTTAATTGCTTTGATCCTTGTTAATTGGTTTTCAACGAAATTCAGTCAGCAACAATCTATTCATGGATATAGTATCCATCATCAATACAAAGTCCTAACAATAATCGTTGTCCAGGTAGTGCAATATTCTCCATGGATTTTGAAACCGAGTTTGTATCCTCACTTCTTACTTACAATTCACAAAATTATTCAGACAAATCGGCTTCGCCAAAGTCCGAGCTGGAAGATTAAGCGCACAACATGTAATGATTGTATAATTACACTGACTTACCGAGAACGTGCAGGTCGATTATACTTTGCGTTCTTTCCGCTGAGTCCAGCTCAACTGCAAACATATACTTCGCAGCATCGGAAGCAGATACGTTGCGGATTATCAAAGTAGCTGGGCGCTCGATCGTAAAACGATCCCGTGCAGAAAAACTAGATGAGATTTTTATCTTAGTGTCGGTTAGATACCCAATGTACTCGTCAGCACCTTCTTTACTGATAAAGAAATCAACTTCTTTTAATGGGTCACTACCAGAAATTGAAAAGTTCCAGCGAAGATATAGTATGGGAGTGTTTTCAAGAACTTTGAAAGGATTGTCCACTTCTACAGTAATGGTGACATCGCTGGCAGCCTCTGTGAACAAGAATATATACACTTTTTCTGTGAAAGAGCGATTAAAATATGTTTAGAATAAAATCAAGAATTGCAATTTTTAGCCTCAGTGTATTTGATAATGAACAACAAGGGCGCTTGACGTTTATTTCCTTTCAATTAGGGACAAAAACAAAGCAATTCACCAAGAAAAAGCTTAACCCTTGGTGTGCTAGATAAGACCGTACCGACAAGTAGACTTCTTCTCGGCAAGATAGCCACGAGAACAAACCACCAATTGGCGAAACTCCAAAATGTATCCATCACTTCTTGCATAAATGTCAGATTCTCATTCAGAGGTACCTCAAAAGTTCCTCACACTAAAGACTAGGGATCTCTCAAGGAGTTGAATCTTTGGACTATCTAGAAACCCTCGCGATTTTTTTGTGACCATTAAGCTCCCTAATATTCCCATGCAACAAACTAAAAACATTGAATACTAGAATATTAAAATTAATGATGTGGCGTAAAACTATAATACTAACAAACCTTTAAGGCGACACCTCTGCTATTGTGCTTAACAATCACTTGTGATCACTGTTTCTTCCAGAGAGCAACACTCAAATATAAACAGTCCATTGGGAGAAGAAAAATTTCATTCTCGCGTCTTCTTTTGATCATTATTTTTTGGAGGCAAACACACCCTCTTCTCAGTCGAAGAAAATAAGAACCATCGTAATTGCTTAAGAGAGATCTAATCACAGAGTTCTCTTCCCCAGCCGCCACCATCATCGCCATCCTCAGTAATCTTTGTATATGCCTCGCGCACAGTTTCCCGCCGTATATTCTAGTGCCTAGTCTTCTCGCAGCAAATTGCTACGCTCATTAACAGCAAAACAAAATAGCAGCCAAACAAACACACCAATGCAAATTGATTAAGAAAAATTTTAATTAATGATAGAAGACAGGAAATGAACAAATGGAAAATATGAAAATAATCAAGTGCGTGCCAAGTAAACTTCTGGTAGTTCATTGGTATATATGTTATTTCAGCAATCGTCTATTTCATACACATTTTCCAAGATGAAGCTCATAGCTGTGACTGATTACAAACTCAAGGAATTAGGTTAGGAATTTTCATATCTTATTAATTTTGGAATGTGGGGGACAGATAGCGAGACTCTGGGCGGCAGATATATAAAACGCGAAAACCTGTGGTTGTGTTGGTGGGAATCGGTTAAAGAACTGGAGAAGCCCCTGTGACAACCTTTTTTAGAGATGTTGAAATTGTGAACTTGAAGAAACAAGAAGCAAAGAAAAGACTAAAAACATGCCTTTAAATTCTTTACAGAGGCCAATTTACGTTTTCAACTCAGTTGTTAACACTAAATTACCTGTTATACTCTCCCACCAACGCAGCACCACAGTTTCTTTAGAAACTTACCCCCTTTAAAGAAAAGGAAATGTCCGTTTCCGGAGAGACCTGTTCAGATTTCCTTATATGGTTTTGCAGTTGCGATGTATCATCTCTTGAAGTTTCGCTTTAAATCATTGCTTGCTGAAGAGTATAAGTCATTGTTAAGCATTCCACCTCCCTTGCTTGAAGTAACAGTTTCGAGATGTATGTATTATTGTCTCATCGGTGACTGATCTTGGATCAATTGAATAGGCCTTCATTTTCAAGGTAAGAAGCTGGATAGAGTGTTTTTAATTTCGGCATGTACTCTCTACAAACAGAGTCAGGAGTTCTGCATTATTTTAAGAACATGTAGGTCCGGGCGACTAAAGGGAAACATTTTATTGGCGACTTTCATCCACGGTGATTGTGGAAAGCTTTTTTTTTCCTTCTTTGGAAAAAAAAAACCTTGTGACGCTACCACACGATAAAGTAAAAGTGCAGCGCCAAACAATTCAAAATTCGCCTTTTCAAGTATATATTAGTTAAGGTTACCTCCCACCTTAAGAGGCCGAAAAATTCATTTTTTCTTTTATTTACGGAAGCCAAAAATTTTAACATTACTTAATTAAAATTTCCAAAAGTATCCGAGTTATTTAGAAAAACGTATTTTCAAGTAAAAGTTAATAAATCAGGAAGGTGTCATATAATCTCGCACCTGGGCGAATCCCTGGGGGAAATTTTCGCGGCAACGCTCATCTTGGGGCACGTTTTTCATGTCGTTTACAAATTTTGTTTACATTGCGCACTTGACAAAATTCACGCGTGAACGCTCTTTGCTTCTGGAAAAATCTTTGCTCATGGAAAAATAAAAAGCAAAAGAAAGTCTGTTGAAAAAAGAGAAAGAAAGAGTACCACTCTGTGAAAGCGAGCCCCACGCTGGCGTTCAGATTTCAAACAAAGACATCGCCGTCATATCGAAATTAGTCATACATTAAGTTGAAACCGACGTTTCCTTTTATTTGTGCAAGTATCAGCCATGATACAAAAACATGAACAATCGCCTGGAATCGTGAGTTTGAAAGCTGTCTGTGGATTCGTTGTCTTTCCTCTCAGCACATTTTCCGGTTTTTTCATTTTTGCTGCAGTATCTTTCTTTGCCTTTGGCTTTTTGCCCATTTTTGTGTTGTCCTCCTCAACGCTCCACTGAGCGATTGAAATAAAAGTAACGTGGTTGCAATGGGTTACTTTTCCCGGGAAATCTTGATCCAACGTCATTGACGCCTGGAGGTCCCGTTGTCCCATTGGCTTGCAGTTTCAGGACACGAGATAATCTCCTGGCGTGGCGAGATTTGTTTACGAACGTCTATGATTTAAAATCTCGCATTTGATTTTGGCAGGAATACATCCACTTTAAGCGAATTCATAGGGTATTCAAATTTGTCCGATTTTTGTCAAATTTCGCCCGATCATTCCAAGAATAATGTCAAATGAAAGCATGTTGGAAAATTTTGATAGTTGAAGTATTCGTCCCGTGGCGTCCATTTACGCAACACGCCTCGCATAAGTTTAGCTACTCCAACTTTAGATAACCAATCACGATCAGAGTATCGAAAAAACCTGACACTCCTAGTTGATTAATGTCTTGTGAATAAGACTGTGTAGCCATTTTGCTTGTGCTACGGCATCTGATACCTGATAGATTCAATAGAAGAACCCTCGGTCGTTTCACGCCTTACCGGCTCCAAACACTTCCTAGGAATTTTTTCCCGAAGGACATCCATATGATATGCTGTTGATAACCAGGAGCCCATGTAGATGGGCTCCTGTAATAACTTACAGGAGGGACGGACGGAAATTACTTGCTTGGCTGAAGGACCGGACAGAGCCTAGCAAGGTTCACTCGTCATGACCGAGCCCGACCTAACACAGTCAAAAAGGATTTTATCATTTGACCGTCGCTCTTCCTTTTTCGTCCTTCCTTCGTCCAGCTCACAGCTCGCCGCGCGCAGTACGGCTTATTACGGCCCAGCTGCTGTTCACACTATCGCGTACCAGCCTGATCGCGTACAGTCCTCATAGGGGATTTATTTTTTCAATAAAAGCGCGCGCAAGGCCTCATGGGTCATACATAGAGAATTTTCCACCGTGGCGAAGAAGAAATGAAATTTTATGTTCGAGTGGCGAGAACAATATCTCACGATTGAAGGCAGCGAACGAGTGATATATCGTTCTTTCGAGGAATTCTTTGAAAATCTTTAGATCATACAGGGTTTTCTTCCAGGTGTTATCGCTCTCTTGTTGCTTGGAAAATGCATTTACATCTTCGTCGCTTAACTGTCCTTACCACAACAAATCTTGCAGCAGCCACTATTCCAAGCAACAAACAAACCAAGTTCATTCAGCAAGGTTTGAAAGGTGGGAATCGTGATGTCGTTACTCAATACGACCACTCGTGTTACATACGAAAAGTAGGCCACTCGGTTCCAAGATGACCTCTTAATGCGGTGATCGTATTTCTTCTGAAAGTGTTTTCATTTCCACTGTAAACACTCTCTTCTAATTAATATTTTCTGTTCTCTTTTTCCACTCTTCGAATCTTGTACAAGCGGTGTCATTCGGCACAATCGGTGGATTACTCTGGGCAGAGTATACCCATAGGGGTTTGTAAGTGGACGCCTAAAACTTTAGTTGATTAAGGTTACCGTCAACAAAATCTTGTCAAAATTTCAAATTGTCGTTTTTTTGCTCTTTAGTTAGAGAAGTTAGTTTGTTTAATTTGCCAGGAAAATAAGCAAAATCTTAACAAGAACACGAGATACGAGTAAAAGAATGATTCAATGGATCCTGTACTGAGGAACGAAAGGTGTCAATCGAAAAGGCTTCCATCTGAGTGTTTACGTTTACCGCAGGCTTTCGTCCGGGATCTCGATTTGCATAGTTTGTTTACATCACGTTTTGCACGACACAGCAAAAGGGAATTTCCACCACATTTTACAAACGTTGAGAAATGAGGGTCTTCATCAAACGGTCAAAAAGCGAAAAGTCGCAAGGGTGCCTGAGCCAAAGAAATCGTAGTTAAGTTTTTTTTTTCCCCTAGCTTGCTTTGCCAACTTTTCCTCCTGCTTTTCCAGATGAATTTTAGATTTTGTTTAATTTACTTTCCTCGTTTCACAAAGTGACCTTTCCCGCGGAACAGAAAGGAGTTCTTTGTCACAAGACTTACCAGGGTGTTCGGTGTTGCATTTTATTAGTCGGTGGTATACCACCGCATTGACGATGACGAAAAAACAAGAATAAATTAGTTGAATGAAAAGCGCTCGTTGATACCATGAAGATTAAGCCGTTGCCGATTTGAAAGACGCAGCACCACAGCTTTTTGGGAAACTTACTCCCTTTATTCCGGGGAATATCGAAAAACCCTAACATACTTTGCCAGTCTATTATCTGCTGAGTGATACTGTCTGGTTTGTTCTGAGGACCGCGGTAACGCGGAGGCTGGTAATTAAGTAACGTTGATAGTATCGGTTTTGAGTTTAACTAAGAGTGACTAGCATTAAATTTCTTCCTACAGAAACAGTAACACTGCTAAATCATTCACTGAGATCACGAGATTAATATAATGCTTGCCAACCCAAGAAGCTTTGATCTTCAAATGAATTCTCTTTGTCAACACCAAAATGAAACATGTAGAGAAGAGTATGGGGAATATGGATATTGATGTTAGGGTGCAAAGGGTTCAAAGCTCGCGCACGTCTACCTGGGCAAAAACTTTGAAAATTGTTTATTCTCTATACTTTAAAAGCCTTACACTGATATATAATTTTCTATGGCTTAAAAGTTGCGCGCGTAAGACGATTTTTCCGGAAGGCATCGCCTATAAACATACTCTGTTGACAGTAACTTTAGGGAAAGAAGGCCGATATCGAGTGTATTATGCTGATATTGACAGACGACGCCACTCCCCCTCCCCTTCTCCTTCAAAGATACCCGAAGGTTGGAGGATGTTCTAGGGCGCCGCCCCATTCCTTGGGGCGGTGCCTCATCATTCCATACAATGATGCATGTACCATTTATCAGCTTTTAATGAGCATTACAGTTGGTTACATATGTTGATATAGTAAAAAGTATCAAAGAGTCACCAAAAGAAAAACAAATGTGTAGTACAAGCAGCACAGAGAAATTGGAGACGTTCACCTATCGACATGAGTGTTCTATTACAATCTGCAGGTGTGCTCACATTAGGGACTTTCGATGGATTAAGTCTACTGGTTTTCGCCGCTGGAAAACGGCTGAAGTATCTGTTCATTACCAAAACGGTGTTATGGATGGTGTCGGTTCTGTGGGCACACATACCACACATCTGAGCTCTCTCGGCTTCTCAAAAAAGCGTGATTATAATATAAAAATCAACACTTGTTAATTAGACCACACAGTTTATAGTAACATGTGGTATTCATTGCGAATCAATAAGTATCGTATCAATCAGACTACGAAAAAGCATTATGCTGGAAAAAATGAATAAGACGACACTAGACAGTGTGGCAGCCCGCTTTACCCGACAGAGGAACCAAGTAGTTCTCGTAATGAAACCAAAACGAAGCGTTCGTGAATTTTCACGGAAGGCTTGTGATACTTGTCCAAAGTAGACTGTACCTCTGTTTTGATTGGTTGAGTACGTCATCCGCACATTTGACTAGCTAGTGATTACTCAACATCTGTATTTGCACACTGGCAAAGTAACAGGTGACTTTCTAGTCCTTACTCAGGAGAAGGTCTTTCATACGTGTCTGCCACTTATTGTCAATGTCTATTACTAAATTACATGTTAAATACGAGATAAGGTTAAATAATCACACACTGCGGTGCAGGGCAGAAAAAAACAGTACTTTTAACCTTTCTGACTAATTATCAATGTCAAAAACGAAAACAAGGCAAAAGGCATTTTGACCCCGAAAGAACAACGAAGATTGTGCCTTGTCAGAACTAATTAAACAGCTATTTTATCCGCGAAACCAACTTATTTTCTATTTTAAAAAAATCAACTCTAGCTACCAATGACGTTTTACGTCTGCTAATTATTTGTAGTTGACAAAACACACATGCATTCACAGCTGAGCTGTGATCATAAAGAGCTGGTGTGCATATGATCCTTTAATCTGATCGCATTTCAGCTCAACGAAGTAGATGCCACGATATACAGACTGCCCCACAACAGTCACATGGCCAAGAAAAAACCGGAATTAAGAAAAGCGTCTAAAAATTCTTTCAACATTGCGAAAAAAGTCTTAGAAATTGGTAACGATTGACGTTACCAAAACTGTCTATTTTCTTAAACAAATTCTATTTATATTGGCATGTGCCCTATAATAACCAAATCTTCACCTTCCAATTTTCGACGCATATTAAAATGTTTTCCTAACAAAATCAAAATATACACCTCGTCAAGCATTATGGTCGTTACGAAGTGAATTGATTATATTTACGAGAACTTAAGGAAAAATATCTACAATTGAGCGGCAAGTTGTGCTAGATGAGAGGTTTTTTCGAGAAAATGCTAGCTTTCCGTTATATTGGTATATTTATTCATCTATGTATAAACTATGTTACGAAACAGATTATAAGCAAGACAATTACTGAAGTTCTCATCTTAAATTACAAAAAAATATAAGTAAATGATTAGCCAAAACCAAAAACAATAAGGTAAAACTGTATGGGAAAAAATATGGATGTGCTTGATTTTACGAAGCAACAAATAGCATGCATACGTGTTTCTCAACAATTACTCTTGCGGTCTTATAAAATATATCAAGCAAAATCTATCCTACATAATAACAAAATTTTTATGCATGTGAGACAAAAACTAACTACAAAACAAGAGAATTGAGCACTAAGGCTACGGTCATCATTATCTCACAAAAGACCTGCAACTCTTCCAACGTTTTACGACCTCAGTTAAAACTAAAATCCTGTCTCGTTAGTTCCTTCTGCACCATCACCTGTGTTCCCAGCTAAGGATTCCTCCTTGCCAACAGCTGTGGTGGTACTGTCTTTGGGAGGCTCAGCACCAGCGTCTCCAGGGTTTCCCTTTAGAAACTGGGTGATGTCAGCATACTGTGTCTCAGCATAAGGGTCCGGCCGTTTGATCGGAGGCAGGGTTTTGGGGGAGGTGGATATTTCAGGCATTTTCTTCATATGATGGAATTCACCCAAATCAGCATAAAGAACTTCACCCGGCTTGGGCTTGTATGGTTAAAAACAATAGACGTAAGATAATG